GGGTAGCCAGGGTAGGTGGGTGGGTGAAAAGATTTGGGTGAAAATGTGTGTAATCAAAACTGTGCTGCTCTGACCCATGTAATTCAAAGGAGAAGTGTATGGGGGGAGAAGGCCTTAAATGAGTTGGACCTCAATACCTGGCAGAACACCTTCTTCCAATGCGATATGCCCGACCTACTCATTTGTCCTAAGCCAGACAGTTGAGGACATTCATCCCAAGAGAGGCCCAGAAAGAGAATAACAGGAACCGGGCCTTCTCAGCAGTCATACCACACCTATAGAACGAACTCCCACCTGAGATTTGCCGACCCCTTCACTGAGGTTCTTTTAGCGACTTTTGAAAACTTGGTTATTTAAACAGGCATTTCAAGACACAACATCAACAGAACGCAGAGTACTTTCCAGCCCTTGAAATACCAATACCACCTTCTTTAAATTACCTGTCTCCTATGTTGTATTTTTTCTTTTTTTCTAAGTTTAATTGATTAGTATATGTGCATTTTCTTTTTCATATTATTGTGATGTTTGTGTTGGTTTTAGTGCTTTATTTTGTTGTAAACCACCCATTTATATATATATAAATGGCCAGTGCATGTTTCTTCACATATTAATGGAAAACCTGTGGTTATATGTGTACTAATTTTTTGCCAGTTTCAAAAATGGTCAGAGAATGAATTCAGAGACAGAGTATAGCATAGCTATGGTTACTCTAAATATTTGATCCCTTTCATTGTGTACAGTAGGACCCGTATCTGCAGTTTCACTTATCCATCGTCGGAACATATTAAAATTATTAAAAGAAAAAAAATCTAGAGATATGTATTTTTAGAATGTTTTTACCAGAACTGGCCGCTAGAGGAAGCCAGATACCATGCTATGCATTCTTGTTGAAGAATATATGGCATGTCTGTCTCCCTCTAGTGGCCAGTTCTTATTATACATGTGAAAATATTTTTTCTATATATTTTTTTCTTTTACAATGCTATGTAAACCATTCGTGATTATCCATGGTTTTCCACATCCATGGGGGATTGCACCAATCCGCCATGGATATGGGGGTCCTTACTGTACTATTTAATTGGGGAATATTCTCAGAATTTTTCTTTTCGTAATAAAACATAGTATTTCTCTGGGTATGCTTTCTCTACATTAGTGATTGAGTTTACTATGTGATGTTAGTGTGATTTCACCACTTCTTTACAGTTACTGTGTTCTTGCATTACCAGAGCAGTGCAATATGGAGCCATAAGGAGTTGAGCTGTCCTGCTTCCATAACATAAAGAACTGGGACTGAGTGTCTTGTAGATCAGAAATCACTTCTTCTGCTTTGTGCTGCTCTTTCTATCATTGAATGTTCCACCTGCAAATTACCTAATAATTGAGGTTGGGGTATGGTTTTATTTTTCAAGGAGCCCTACTGGATTGTCCTCCATGAGCGGATTGTGAGCGTCATTAACAGTCCTAGTTTGACTTCAGAGACTGAGTGGGTTGGTTACCCATTCCAGCTGTTCGACTTTACAGCATGCCATCAGTCATACTCCGAAATGTGTTGTAGCTACATCCTAGCATTGGCCCATGCGGTCTGGCACCATTCAAGCATAGGCCAGCTTTCTCTCATTCCAAAGTAAGTGTAGTAAATCTGCTCAGTATTCTGTGAATATTGTTCCTAGCTAAATGTGCTAATTGCAATTAAAATAGATATATATCTTCTTTTAAAGATATGGTAGTATTTAATTGTGTCATATCTATTCTTACCGGTAACATTGCACTCTTGCTAGATTTTGATAATCTTCAGGTTGTGAAATATTTATTTTTGAGTCATTAATTGTAGTTTTTCTAAATAATGCAGGTTTCTCACAGAAGTGTTGCTTCCAATAGTGAAGACTGAATTCCAGCTGCTCTATGTATATCACCTTGTTGGCCCCTTCCTACAGCGATTCCAGCAAGAGAGGACAAGGTGCATGCTAGAGGTAGGTTATTCATTGTAGGAAATGTTACTGTTGTGCTTTTGTTTAGCAAAAGAATAAAGCAGCAAGCCTTTAAAAAAAAAACACCAAGTTTGACACCCTATCTTGCCAATATATTTGGTCCAGAGAGGAGGTATTTTGGATCGTTTCCCGTTGTACTTATTCTTCAGTTTTGTTCTCTTTTCAAAAGACTTCAAAGGCAACAGCATTTGCAGTTAATTAAGTGAGCGCTCTTGAGTTTTCAGTATATTTCTAATACAAAAACCAGGCACAGGAGTCCATGCATCACATGGTTAAATAACCTCATGATGGCTTATGAAACATTCTAGGGCTATTTTTTTTCTCTTGTGTTCAGCTCTGCCTGCTTTGAATGTTGGAGGTTAAATTTATTACTGGAAAGAGGCAACTCAATTCTCCCAAGGCCCAGCTTTGCACAGCCCTGTATAAATAGTCATAATTTGCGTCACCTCACTGCAGAAAGCACAGCACATTACATTCCGGTATGCACCAGCTTGTCTCTTCAAGCACAACAAAAGAGTTTAAAAATAAACTCTACAGGTCACTTTGGGTGTCATAAAAATAATTATATTTCTGCTGCAAGTAGCTGAATGTAGCTGACTTGAGGCTTTGACACTGAAAGCAGGGATGAGCACATGTTTTTTACAGGTAGCAAATCAAATAAAGAAATTCTAAAAATACTTAAGTTTCTGGGGGGTTTTCCCCTCTCCTCTTTAAATGGTAAAATTTCTTTAGTACCTACAAATTATCCTAGAATTGAAGCTTGTTGTCACCAAATTCATTTTCCAAAATCTGAAATCCATCATGTAGATGTGATTTTAGAGTGGGCAGACAGTGATTTTTACCCTTTCTCAGTATAGTTCTTGTGTGTGACAATAGATTGGAGTAGCCTTTTATGAAATGCTTCTGGAGGTGGACCAGTGCAACACACATCTCAACTACATGGATCCCATCTGTGATTTTCTGTATCACGTGAAGTACATGTTTACTGGAGACAGTGTGAAAGATCAGGTGAGTGAATAATACAATATACCTCCCTTGAAATCAAGTGGTGAATAATATACTGTTGAAGTATACTTGGTTTCCTGTTTCACATTCTGAAATGAGTAATAAAAACTCTACTTTTAAAATCAGTTCTTCTGAACATAATGTGAGGATAATTAAAATGCTCTCCTACATTCTCATTTCTCTTTAGGTTTGATACAGGCAAAGAGCAGCATAACATAGCACGTAATTTCATGGATCATTAGGTTTTAAATTTGAAGTGAAGTCTTTGGAAGTGTGATTTTTTTAAAACACAACCATACAAATTTGTTTTGCCATTTTATTAACATGGATACCTAGGAATTGAGCATTTGAATCCGCATTAGGGCGAAGGACTGGACAGCCCAGGCTATACTGCCCAGAGTCACACCAGTGCCATTGTTTCAGAGCAGGTATTCTGAACTTGGAAATTAAGGTGGGATTTCACTGGGCATCCAAATGCTGATGACATGCCAAAAGGAATACAAAAAGCCAAAAACTCTTTGTTACAAGTTCTCTCTTGAGAAATTAAAGCTATATCTATATATATAAACATCTCCCTGAATCTTAAATAGTAACACTAATTTTTGTACAGTCTTTTCATTTTTGTGACGTTTTCTTTTCCTGATTTGGATTAGGTTGAGAAAATTATCTGCAACTTGAGGCCTGCTCTGAAACTTCGCCTGCGCTTTATACATATCAGCAAAATGGAGCCCGCTTCTGTTCCTCAGCCACCTATAAGCAGCGTGTCTCCTGCATCTCAGGCTAGTCAAGTCTCAGTAAATGTTGCTTTGCCAGTGTCACAGTAGAACGAGGGGCTCAACCCTGTCTCTGTGAAGGATGCCTCATGCTGACCAAGGTGAAAACTTCACTCACTGTGAACTCATTTGGAAAATTGGCATGAAGAAAAATTTACACTAAACTTTCCTAATAATATATTTACAAGGTGACATTTAAAAATATTTTTGTGGTGCCTTTTTCCCAGTAAAATAACTCTTCATTACAAAATTCCTGGGTGGTTTGTGGATGTATAAATAACAGTTGTTACAAACATGATCCACTGTTGTCCTTATTCTCATTCATTCACGTCTCCTTTCTTCTCACCAAAGGTAACGGTTGTATTTTTGATAGTGAAAGTATCATTATACTGGGAATACTTAGCATTTCTTCCTTTTTTAATCTTTGTCTTTGGAAAACAACATTAGGTCAAAAATATCCTTGTCCTGTTAGCTGGGATATGCTGTCAAATCTAGTTGAAGTACTGGTACGGAAGAGAAAATCTGCATCTGGTTTCTTAATTGTCAGCCCTCGTTTGCTCTTTCTAGAGAATGGTCCTGCTGAATGAGGGATGCAGTTGGGGCAATAAAACACACTGTCATTCACATCATGGAAAGTAAACAGGCTGAGTGAGAAATCTTGCCTCACCTACTTGTAAAATGTAATTATGTTTAAAAACTGTATATATGTGTCAGTTGTGAGAAGGATTTAAGGCTGACTGAATTGTGAATGTTTATCATAACTACACTTTATTTTGGACTTGCATTATATTACATTTGTTGCAGTTTATTTCTGTGCACTGCTAGTATGTTTCTGTGAGGCAAGGTCTTGTTTGACAGATAATAAAAGTGTTAGAATTTGTAAAACCCTATGCATATTTGGTAGCACTGAAAGTGTTTAATAAAAAAATAGTTTTTATAACTTAATTATTTTCATTAAAATTACTTGACATTGGTGCTATTCAACCTTTGCCTTGCAAATGTAAAAGCAGTATTTCACCAGTTGTCCCATATATTTAGGCTATGAGTACAGGATATTTCCTTCTTTCGTGGCTCCCCACCTTTCCCAGGTATCATTAGAGGTGTTCCTTTATTCAGAATACTAAAGTTTAATTAAATAAAAAGGAGAAATTTTTATTATAATTGTATTTTACTTTAGAATTTGTGCCTAAATAGCTCTTCTTCGCCACCATCTGTAGCAAAATGAAGGATGCAGAATAACAGGCCTAATGCACTTTACTTATAATCATCAAAATTAGCTTCTAGGAACTGTGCTTGTTGAAGGCTCTTAGAGCCTCAGTTTCCATATATTCAAAGCCTGAAATTAAGGACCACAGCAACTTGAGTGGTTAGACCTCCCACGCGATGCTCCAAAGCAGGACAGGATCATTGCCACAGCTGAACTGATAGTGATGCTCACTTCTTCTGGTGTCTTGCCATGAGCTGGGTTGACCTCCATTATATCCACTGCTGAGAGCAGCCCTGTAAAGGCAAATAACAACTTCATTCTGATTTCAGAGGTAATCACGGAACAGTGTTCAGAATGTCTGAACACATCAGCAGAGAAGGTCTGGGGACACACAAGCATAAGGATGAAAAAGTAGTGCCTCATTTAGGATTTGTTAGTTCAAATGCTTTGATTTTTACATTTAATTAATTAATTAAAGAGTCTGCCTGGCCAAGAGGAGAAGGGACCAAGCTGACCACATCAGCAGCAGCAGGGCCACAATATGAGATGTGTTTGAGGACAGTGAAAGCAAGAGAATAGAGGAAAACGGATTAATGTGATTAATCAGCTCAGTTGTTGCAAAACAGAACCTCATCACAGAGGAGTCAAAGACCAAAGTTGCCATTTTGACTGGGATTATGTATTGTTTAAGCTGGAGCTGCCTAACATTAAATGCATGCATAACGCAAAGTTGTGCGCACAGTGATGCATGAACACTGAGATGGAAGTGCTATCCCCCAAGTGTGTCCACCAGAGCCTTGTGCAGTGACCAATTGTGCAATTACAGAATACAATTCCTTGTTGCTGGCCATCATATCTAGCATATTTACACTGGCATAACTACACCATGCCAGCGTGAATAGGATTAATTAATTAATCTTGTTAATTAATTAATTAACAACTCACTGATCTAAATCGGGTTTCTGAATCCTCTAACTAGATTCTCAACCTAGTATCCTGTTGCCTACATACACAGTACCAAATAGTCCATTCCATGTCCAGTTCCTCCCTCATTTTTGCACATAAGAAGAAATCCAGGAACCTCTACTGAGTTAGAACACCCATCTAACCAACAGGGTAGTCCTTGGTAAGTGCAAGCTAGAAATTGTCAGGGCTTGGTTGGGCAAAGAGCACTGACTGCAATAGGCCCAACTCTCTGTGATGTGAAACAGGAGTCCTCGACAAATTAGGCTTTTGGTATAACATTCCTAGTTCTGAGATTTTCTTTTTTCAGATGATAGTTATCAAATAATTGCTTCTTTTACAAAACCTGATACGATCTGGAGAAACCAAACTACCTCATAAGCAGAAGTCAAGCTAATTGTGAGCATGGTCTGGTGACATATTGGCTGCCATACCATTTTGGGAGCTGGACCCCAGCCAATATTCACATAGTGGGTTAACACTAAAAACCCAGTGTTCAAACATAAAAAGCACATCTAGTTTTATTAACTGAAAGAGACTAAGCCCCCAAGACTGTTGATTTGTTTTTCATCCATTTCTTGTTCCATTAAAAAAAAAAAAAGCTGTTCCTTAAATTGCAAATCTTTTTTTTCAAGGCTTTACAGTGGTATTTCCCCCTCACAATTAAAAACAACACGCTTTCAAAAATGGTTATGCTACCTGTTTTATATAGTTCTTCTGCAACATAGATGCCTTCTCTGTAAGTCATTCCTCCAGGAACTGGGGTTCCTGTAGCTGGTGCCACAGAAGGATCCAAACCATCAATATCAAAACTTAAGTGAATTGGTCTCTTCTTGCTAAAGAGGAGGGGGGAATGACATGTTACTGCTCTTTTAAAAATCCTCTGTCATTAAAAAGAAAAAAAATGTTATTAACAGAATTGATTTCCTTTTGTTTATTCCCCTCCCACTCATCTCTGTCCTCATCTTACATCCTCAGTTGCCTCCTCTGTCTTAGACCTCTATGACTCACTATTTTTCACTTACTGTAAATAAGGCAGCAAGGGGAAGACAGTGTCTTCTTCTTGCAGTGTTATCACTATAGCAGACACTATTACTGCTGGCAGGAAGGAGGCAGCAGCACCTAATCTCCAAAGGTGATCTAAGAAGACAATCACATTACTGGAAGAGATTGCTGCAAAAAGAAAGCTTACTGTCTTTAATAAAGCGGAAGCCAATAGGTAAATGTGTAATAAAATGTCAAATAAAATTTATTAACAAAGGTTCATTCCTGTAAAAAGCCCATCTGCACTACATCTATGATACTGGCACTGCACTGTGCACATGTTGACATGCTGAAACGGGTGGGTGTGGTTCAAGAGAGTCAAAGCAAGGATGAAGAAAACACCTTGCTTTTGTAGTTTTTTTAAAAAAACACTACCCATGTCGTGTATTTTCCTTCTGCTTTATTCTGATTTGCTCCAGTGCACAATCTGCTCATGGTGCCCCCAGTGTTAGACTGATGTATACCAATCTGTGCCCTCTGTGGGTGGGTGGATCCCTGTCGTTCACACTATGGGCATGTTCCTTATGGTCATTTTCCACCTTTCCACACTTCACTACTGTTTGTGTTGAGTCTTCTTTGGATATCACCTATTTCTGTGCTGGCTTGTTTGTTTTTTTTGTTATCATTTTTTCACCATAGCACAAAGGAGGAAACTGAAAATACAACAATTAAAATGAACACTGCAGTTAAAATATGAATGTTTGAGAACTGTAAGAAGGCAATATAAGGACAGGAGAGAAGAGGGTGAGGTGGGCAAAGGAGGAGGGCAATCTGGGTTGGACATGAGACCTCAAGGAGCAATTATGCATGTGTGTGGACAGGCTACACTTAGACAACTCCATGCATCCCAGCACGTTGAGCAACAAAGAAGGACTCCACTGTATGGACGTTATTCAATATAATGTGATGTGCTCAAAGCTGCAGCAAAAAATAATCCGATTACTCGGAGCACCCCAAGAATGGTCAGCAACATCACCACACCATCACAGTACGGAAGACCCAAAAGCTTTTTGAACAGCAAGGTTCTAGTACAGTGGCACACTACTGTATGCATCTTAGAACCTCAACACTTTTTATTGTTTTCTATACATAAAACCATCAAATGGGAGATTACTCAGTCCGTCTAGCTTCTTAGCATTTTCATTGCGTGGTCAAGATCTAGAATGCCCAAACTTTTGCACTCTTGTTTTCCACTGATTTTAAAATATGATCCGAGATGTGTCTAGTTGTACAATACCAAAACCCTCAGTTTAGAAATGAATGAGAATGAAGTGTTCTCCTGCTTTTCCATATCTGGCGATCCCTGTCGGTGTCATCCTTTGCCACAAAGCCCCCTTCATCTCATGAATGCATCAAACTTTATGCACTTACTTGGCCAGCAAGTATGCAAGTGTTTCTTCCATCACTTTCCCAATTCCAAGTTTATCAATTTCAGACATGGAATAGCATTTTATCCCAAGAGATTTCACAAGGAGTCTAAAAACAAAGTAGAGCAACAATAAATCAGTGGCTGAAGAGTCAAAAACTTCTTGGTCTACACTGATGCAGTCTACAGATAGTCTCTGGCATTTCATCGGCAGACTGCCAGCAACAGCCTTGAATTTAGCAGCTCACTTTTTAGCCATGAGTGATTTGGAATTTCTTGCAGGTTAGAATGTGGTAGAGAAAAAGACATCGTCCCCCTCCACGTTTACACCCTGCTTTTGTTCTACTGACTTAAAGGTAGCATACATGAGTCTTCTCCTTCCCACTTCATCCTCACCGCAGCCCTGAGATTCCCAGTACAACATTCTGGCCACTAGGCCACAATGACTTTCTTGATAAATTCAAGAACTCACCCTCTTTCTTGCTGCTTTTTGCTATTTTAATTGATCCTAAATAAAGGAACTATTGTGCTGGCCAAAAGAGCTGCCTACAATTTTGGAACAACTGGGTGTCCAATCCTCTATGGCAGTTATTCCCATTCTCTGGTCCCCAGGTGCTGTTTGACCACAAATCCCATAACTCCCAGGCAGCAATAGCCTATTCTCTGGAATGATGGAATTGTCTAACAACTGGGGGACACGTGTTTGGGAATTATGTAATGGCAAAAAGCCTTGGTGTCCTTTCCTATCTGTTGTGCCCATGCCATGTGCTGTCACAGGGGAATGTTCACTTCCAGTAGGTTTAGGCTCAACAGACCTAGGTAGCACTCAGTGTGAAGTTGAGGTGTACCTTGAGAACCCAACAGGAGGCCAAGCTTACTCACTTGTCATTATTGAAAACATTTAGCATGACCCCCTGAACAGAGACATTACACCCTACCAAAAAGGATCATAGGTCACCGTCTTCTACATCCTAGCCAAGGGAGTAGGTCCCGTTTGAAAATAATGGCTCTGGCTGTTTGAGTAGACAGATACAAGATTACACTCTCAGACTCACTCTTCTCCAGGATCCACATCTCTTACACCAATATATACAACATCTTTAGCTGACAGGCGTGGTTTCACCCAAGAGAACCCAGGGACATCAGGCATCTGAGAGAATTTGAAATTCAGAAACAACATTTTAATCTTCATATAATCCAGTTAAACCTCACCAGAAAACCTGGGTTTTAATTAGGTCTTTATTGAGGAAGAAACCAATAATTCATATCTTTGATTTCCAGGAAACAGAATAAACTGTATTACAAAACCACCTTGCTTAGCATCAGCCTTCCCCACTTTTCCACTTTTTGAGTCATTTCCCCCCCCCCGAGTGAACTTTATTTCTTTTTGTTCTTTAACAACCCTCTTTTCAGAGTTTACATCACATATTTTAAAAAAATTGTGGTAAGGTAGAAGAGAAGCTTTCAGAATTCAGAAATTGATAGAACTAGTTTTCTGCCTCAGACCATCATAGGCCATTTAAAAATATGTACAGTTTTTAAATTGCTGTTCATTCTAGGAAATCCTCTTGCTTAGCATAGTGAGTTGCGTTAGAAGAGGGCCACTGAATCAGTGGGGAGTTGGGGAGTCAGCTCCTCCATGAATTTCATTGATTCAAATGGGCCCACTCGAGTTGCAACTTTTTATTGTTCTGAATCGCAACTGGGGGGGGTGGCCTTCGAATCAGAAGAATTTACAGAAGCAACACTAACCAAATTGCCTCAAATTCGATGGGCCTACCTCTGATGCAACGTACTATACTCAGCAATGGGATTTCTGCCGGTATTTTATTTATTTTGAAACTTTATTCTTTGCCTAGCCCTGGGGATAGTTCACAAAGTTTAGAATCTAAAAATGTTATATGTTTTTTAAACATGGTCAAACATTTGTTAGACAGTGAATAATGCAGTGCAAAGGGAACCCTCACTATTGAAATCCCTACTTCTTCTGCCTTTGGCCCTGATCCACATGATAGCATAGGGACATTGTTACTGCTCAAAACTGCTTCTGCAATGTTTACACTTCTCAATCATGGCCTTTTAATACCATCATGGCCCCATCATGTGGAATCCTGAAATCTGTAGTTTGCTCAAGTATATCCCTCAGAATTAGAACACTAGAGGTCTCTAGCAGATAAGTCATCTCACCAAACTATATGTTCCAGGGTTCCACAGGATGGGACTGAAACAGAGTGGCATCAAACTACTTTAATTTGTTCAGTTTACATGTATTCATAATGTATACAAGCAATGGGGCAAGACCCAAGACATTTGCTCCCAGATACATAGGACAGTCCGCATCCAGTGACAAATGGGACAAATGTGAAACACACGGGGTGCACTCCATATTTCACAACAGACGTCTGGTGAAATTGTTCAGTGGAAATCACTTTGCCATGGCAAAGCATGGGCTGAGCTCAATCCGGGAACCCTTGCATATCTCATGGTCTTGCAGCTATCTGTTTTTTTCCGTTTCAGCAATACATGGGGTGGCACCAAACTGGGTTAGTAGTAGTAGTAGTAGTTATTAGCAGCACTTTCTTTCCATGAGGACCCCCAAACCAAGTAATAACAACAAAAGGATAAAACATTATTTAAAAGATAAAAAATCTATAAAGCCAACGTTCTTTAAAAACGTATGAACAACTGTAAAAGCAAGTTTTAACAATAGTTTTAACCACTAAAGGCCTTATAAAGCCATAGTCTTGGCTGCCCACCAAAAAGCTCATGAGGGATGGATTGAGAGATGGATCCAGAGTGGCTTCCCTTGGGAGGAAGTTCTGCATTCAACATGCTGCTACAGAATAAGCCCATCCTTATGTAGTCATCACCCTGGTACTTCCTAATATGGTGGCTTGGTTCATGCTGTGGATCCCAGATTCTGGGGAGAAGGCAGTCTTTAGATATCCTGGCCCCAAGCCAGCTTTATAGGTGAAGACAAGCACTCTGCTTCAAAGGAAACTAGAAACCATTGCACTTGGTTCAAGCCCAGTGATTTGCAGTCTCTAAAATCAACACTAGGCAACAGCCTGGCTGATGCACATTACACTACCCACAGCTTCTGAACACTTTTCAAGGGCGACTCCATGGAAGGCACTACATTAAGCTAATCAGGAGGGAAGTAGGATACACCCACTGTGGCCCAGTCTTCCTAGAAACAGCATGCCACTGGTGCACCAAGCTGAAGCTAAAGAAAAAGCCTTCTGGCCACAGCAGCCACCTGGTTTGTTTGTTTGTTTGTTTATTTATTCTGAAAGGGCAACAATGGATCCAAAAGCCACTTGCAGCTGCCAACTTGCTCTTCAGAGGGAGTGAGACCCCATCCAGAACTAGCTATAATCCCAAACATAGACTAGCAGTACAATTTTTTGCAATGATACAGTTGATGGTATGAATAATAATAAATAATCATTTGCTTTAAATCAACTCAAAGATTTCCAGTTAGAAATGACTCAGAAGGTGTTTACCATTCCATTCTTCTGGGGGTGCCCTGGGACTGAACAGCTTGCCCAAGGCCACACAGGCTGGCTCTAATCATCGGAGTCGAAGGAGGGGGTCAAACTCCCAATCTCTGACTCCACAGCCAGATAGCTATACTGCTGAACTATTCAGCCAGCTTTTGAATGAAACATATAACACCAAAGCCCCTAATTTGCCATTCAAAAGCCATGTTACACTTGGGCAAAAATACACAGACAAGCTCACTGACAAGAAGATAGATACTCTGGCAGGTCAATAACTGATACTGAGGGCTAGATAGGCCTGTGCAAGCTTTCAAATGTCACTCTTTTTCCAAGGCTGAAATAAATGACATAACTTGTGATATTTAGAAGGGGGGAAATCCAAGAAGTGCAAAAAATACACATTCATATTACCAAAATTCCACAGCCAGTGTCTATACTGGCACTGGACAGTAATCTTAACAAGGCATCTTTTTTTCCCCAAGTTCTGGACATGGCCAACAAAAGAGCAGTCCTCAGAAAGGCAGTCAGGTTTCTCAAAAGTGTAGACCCTTCCTTTACCTCCTTCTGAAGTTCCTTGATGAGGAAAGCCAGGGGCTGTCCATGCAAGTTGCCACTGGGAGATGTTAAGGGCGTGTTGATGTCAGTGTGGGCATCAACCCAAACTAAACAGAGATCCGGGTGAACTGCTGCATGTCCAGAGATGCTTCCAATGGCCAGGCTGAGTAAGCAGAGAAGCAGAAGAAGTAGGGTGATGTACAAAGTGTGCTTTATAAACATTTGTAACAAAAAGAACTTTATGATAAAAAAAATCCATCACAAATAAAAGTTTCCCAACTTTTGACTGTACAGTCAAAGAATTGTAATAACTGTAATGGGTGTGATCACGTGATTGTAAAAGTCCCTGACTGCACCAGTATCTCTTGCCTTAACAGGAGTACTGTACCTTAAAGTAAGCCTGCCTGGCCCTCCAAAAGTAGAAGCCCTACAGCTGGACTAAAAATGTCTGGCTTGTGCGTGGATTGGGGTCCGGCTGGAGTGCATTTCCCCATGAGTTATGTGATCACCTGGAAACAAAACCACACTGGACTGCTCCACAAGTAGTCCAGACTGCAATCAATTTCCCCATGGGATTATCCTCCGACTCAAAATAACGAAGTCTTTTGACAGAATTACCTCAGCGTTGTCTTGTGTTAAGATAAATGAACATTAGATGCCCAGCTCAAGGTGGTGCTTCTTATTGTTAACTGAGTTAGATGAGAACTGACGGATTCAGCTCGTCAGATATCAAGACAGCTAGCAGCTCACCCTAGGAAAGAAAAACACACCCAGAGTTCTCATTCTCGGGGGGGGGGGGNGGAGCCGATGGTCATTATCCTGTCTGAGAAAATCCAGCTGCAGAACAGCCTAATGTACTGTGAGAGTCCCAAAGTTACCTTCAGCTCACAATTCTGACAACTGGAATCCTAAAAGTCCAAAAGTCTCATCCCTGGTCCATCTTCATTTCAAGGAGAAATTACACGCTGAGGGAAGACACTCAGCAGCCATCTTGCCCACAGACCCCTTCAAACCTGGCAGCAACACTTTCAAAAAAACAGAATTTGGGACAGAAACAGGCATTCGTGGGCTAAACATCTGTTTCTGACCCCAGACAAGAAGAATCAGCCATACCAAACCCAAACAAAGGCGAGATTTATTCCAGCACCAGGTGACAGAGCCACCACTCCATGTGGCCTGGTTTACTGTAAACCGATACCTGTGATCTCCGCCAAGGACTACTGAGGTTCTTCCACTCCTCTTCACATCTGCAGTAACACTGGCCAACATCTGGTTTGCTTTCCCAACTGACCTGGGATTCTTCGTTCCATTAAATGGGCTATCATCTGGAACATCACTAAACTGCAGATTTCCATAGTCTTTCACATCACATCCTGGGCAGCAGGTTGGCCGGGATGGAGGAGTGAAAGGGAAACCCAAAGAATACAGTTATACACTCTTGTTTCTTAAAAGCATTGCTTGCTTACGCTAAAACGTTTAAGAGAGAATGTCAGCTGAGAATGTGACCTAGTTACATAGACTGACACATTCAAGCAGCTTTGAGTGTAGGTGCTAAAGCAATATGGTCATAGGTGACAAGGAAATGCAGATGGATGGATGGATGGATGGATGGCGAGTGTAGGTGCTAAAGCAATATAGTCATAGGTGACAAGGAAATTCAGATGTTAAATGGATGGATGGATGGATGGATGGATGGATGGATGGATGGATGGATGGATGGATGGATGGATGGATGGATGGATGGATGGATGGATGGATGGATGGTGTACCTTGACTTGAACAGTTTAATTGGTTTGGTGGTGTGGTGTGTTTTTGCATGTTTTGTATGTTTTATTGATTTTACTGGAATGTGATCTAGTGTAGAGCATCATCATCCTCTTAATGTGTTCTAAACTAACCCTCTGGTATCATAATCATAATCATTAACCATATGATAGATGAGGACAGTGTTCAACATAAATTCTCTGCACCTCATGTGGAAACCATCTATGCTTTAGGGGGGGGGAGGAAGACCCTTCTGCCACAACCCAGCACAGGAAAGTAGCAAGCTGCTACTAGAGGATTCGTTTATAATACATCCTCTGCCAACAACAAAAAGAGTGACTAATCATGAGGGTTGCCTCGCAATAGCCAGCACCAGACTGGCTAAGCATATGATGTAGAATAGTAGCCTTCTATGCACAGATCTCCAGAGGTTTCTGAACTACAGCTCCAGAATTTTTTCACCATTGGCTATACTGATTGGAGATTGTGAGAGATAAACTCCATCAATGCCTGAGAAGTTAAGAATATCTACTCTAGGCCTTCCCCAGCATGCAACAGCATCTCAGTGGATGAGACACATTCATATGGAAAGGGTGCATGAAAGGGGAAAAAACATGAAATTATCTTGGGATCACTTCCATGTTTTTTATGGAATGAATCAAACAGCACAAAAAGGTTATACGTTCCAGTTAATTAGGCTTCCTCCTTCTGTAAACTGAAAGCTTGATCTTCTGTATGAATAATATTAAAGCTCTTTTAAAGCTTTAAGAAAGCTGGCATTCAGGGATATACATATAACATCATAATTATCACCAATTATATTTTCCATTACCTTGTACTCTTAACCTATCAAGCAATCCAGCTTCTCTCAGCATTCCTGGACCTTCTTCCACCCCTTCTTGTGACTAATAGGGATGAAAAGGTTAAATCAAGTCATTGCAATATGCCTAGTACACAGGACATCTATAATTCCCTCTGCCTCTGCTGATGAAAACCAAGCCCTCTGTACTCAAAACAGTTAAGAAAACTTGGAGGGGAGGGGAGAGAAACCTTGTTCTTTTGAAATGTGGTGCTGCAGGAGACCTTTGTGGAAAACAGAGTTTGAATTGCTCCCAATTTTAAAAAGTAGAAGCCCACAGAGGGAGCGGGAAATCCATATGGGAAGCAAAAAAGGGCCTGGTTGATGTGCAACTGCCTTTAATTCAAATTATTTTTTAACTGATCACATGGCACAATGTATTGTACTTCCACAGCAAATCCTGTATCATTTACCCATGCAGTCTTACAAGGGTAAGTTAACATTTTCCACAAAACCTACAGAACAGGAACCACTCCTGAAATTTGACCATTACAATACTGCACCCCCTCCCCAAAATGCCAAAGCTTACACAGACATTTTGGATTGAGAGAAGGATTTGTAACCTGGGAAGCATAATTCTGCATCTAGCTATTTAGGGAAGATACGCCATTACATGAACCTAGGTACACATGCTGGGCTGGCTTGATTGACCAGATTATCGACAAAGGTTACTTAGTAAAGCTAATGAGTAAGTAATACACGTAGTTTTAAAATGAATGAGCATGGCTTAAGTGATGAGCACAGATTTAAAATCCAAATTCATTGTAATCAGTAAAATGCAAGCAGCCCAAGAAACGCAGTTGAAGTCCATACATGAAAGCATGGCGTGTTTTGACAAATATAAGTATCTGGGGATCCTGCTAAATGAACAGTGGAAGTAAAACCATAAAATAAAAAATCCAAACACAGATGGCCCAAAGCAGCTCCCTTCAAGTAAAAATAATAATAAGCTACAATTGGCTTTCCAAATGCACACTAGGCAAGCTCTACATATCCTCAATTCTACAGTATGGCAAGCTGCCATTAAAAAGATGAAAGAAGTATTTGAAATGTGTGTTTATCATGGGATGCTAAGAATGTCTTGGGTTTAGAAGGTCTTCTGTCTTCCTTTGGGTCAGAAGCCATCCAGTGGAGCTACTGGAGTGGAAGGAGCAGCCAACAAAGTGTGGTCATTGCCTGGAGGGCAGGACCCAAATGTATTCACCTTCTTCACATTTTTTGGGGGGGGGTCTCCTTCCATGTTACCCAGGACTGAGAGAGTGACCAACACAGAAATACAAAAGCAAATAAATAGAGACCAAGAAATCATACAATGAAAAAAGCCAGAAAACGTCAATTATGTAATAAAGAAAGGAAGAAAAATACGGACTGTTGCAGCTGATCATTCAAGGTAAAACAAATGAAGAAAGATGAGCAGGAGGAAGAAGACCTTATTGGCAGAAAAATCCTGGAAACTAGTTCAGATGCAAACAACATTGTTGTTTAGAGCACCTAGACCCAAAGTAGAATATCCATGATGTCCAACTTCTGGTGTGAACCGTAGAGGAAGAAGGTTAATGAATAAGTTTTCCTTCTTCCATCTCCTCCTTCCAATGGTTCATAGGTATCCCAGTTGCCGCAGAAATTTGGCAATAGGGCCACAGAAAGGGTCACAGCACAGTTTTTTGTGTGGTCCTCTCAGACGGATAAACTTAAAAAGCACAAGAATGCATGTCGCAACAGTGCTGCTGTGCTGGTTTAACATGTAAATTAAAAGATAAATATTATGATGTCCTTTTTAAAAATTAAGGTAAAATGTCCACCTGGCTGACCCAGAACCATATATAATGTGTGCATCACAGGAGACTGCATGAGGAAGTGGAAAGTGTGGTCAAATCCCCTCCAGCACTTAATTAGGATTTTTCTTCTCAGTAATTTATGTATGTATGTATGTATGTATGTATGTATGTATGTATGTATGTATGTATGTATGTATCATCTGGTTGCAAGGCCACTCTGGGTGGTTTAACAATAACCATATGCTTTCTAGCAATCATAGCATCCTGAAGACATGACCTGGGAGTGGCACAGGTTATAGATGAAACAGAAATATGATCTACAGCTAGAACAAATTCAAAAAACTTCCAGAGCCATGTTAGTCTGTCTCAACATGTTGGCAAAAGTAAAGGGGGAAAAGAAGAAAGAGAAAAAGGCAAACTATTATAGCACACTAGGACTGACAGTTTTATTTCAATGTGACCCTTTATGGATTCACAAAAGTAGACACTGAAATAAATCTATTTATCCTTAATATGCTACTATATCCCCTCCCCCGTTTTCTTCCTCCTCTTTAGCAATACGTAGTTAAATAAAGTCCTAAAATGCACATTCATTAATATACTGAAGATACACAGTTGGCTACAGAATCATGCTCAGAGAGTGATGATTAATTGCTTGTTCTCAAACTGGGATGAAGTAACAAGTGAGGTATCCCAGGGTTCAGTCCTAGTCCCTGTGCTCTTCAACATTTTTATTCATTAGCAGGATCATGGGGTGCAGGGAATACTAATCAAACCTTCAGATGACACAAAAATTTGGGGGGAATAACTAATACCCTGGAAGACAGAAAGAAAATTCAAAATGATGTAGATAGCCTTGGGCCCTGGGCCGAAAACAACAGACTGAAATTTAGCAAGGATAGTAGATAGCCTTGGGCCCTGGGCCGAAAACAACAGACTGAAATTTAGCAAGGATA